TTTTAATGCCTTTTCTAAATAAAACAAAATAACTAATGAATGGCCATAAAACCCATGACTTTCTTGTTTCATCTGTTAAAAACAAGAGGCACAGCTCTTGTTCTGACATTAACTCCATAAACATTTATAGTACACCTACTATGTGGTTTAAACTCACCAGCCCCTAGGAAACCCTATACAGGGTCGCTATGAATCTGAACAGACTAGATGGCACTTAACAACAACTATGTGAGTACAGACTGAAAGCTACCAAATTACATCCTTTCCTATCTCCAGTCTGCACACATGGATTCCAAACTGAGAGTAGACTCCTGGCTCACTAGGGCTCTCAGAAACCCCTAAACCAAAACCAAACCTGTTGATTCTTAGCGACCCTCTAGCTACTCCCTAACACTCTCATATTAATTTAGTCAGCGCACTGAGACCCTACTAGAAAATTAACCAAGACAGTTCCACTCTTCCAAGAGTTTATAGGTTAGCTAGTGGAGGGTATTACACAAGTACATCAATAACTAGAAATGAAGTGGCTAATCAGAGGCACTAGTCAAGTTATAAAGTGGGAAAAGAAAGATCCCTTTACATTCCAGCAACTACCCCGCCTCCATCACCACCACCAATCCTAATGTAGACCCTTCCCAGAGGCCCCGCTACACTCCTTTCCTTACTTTATTATTCCATTTAGAAAAAGCAAGCCACGTGGCTTCAGAGCAGTTTCCTCTCTGGCATTGGATTAAGTCCTAGATTAAATTTGGGTTTGTCTTTTGCTTCCAAGCCTTCTAATAGAATTTTATACTGAAAGGCAATTTAAACACATTTGAGTTTTGAGGGGCTGTTGAAAAAAATCAAAGCCAATGTTTGCTTTTTTTTATCATTTCTAAAAATTTACAAATCTTGGGAGATTTGGGAGGTTAAATCAGAATTTAACTCATGGGTATTTAAAAATCTGTGGTAATTTTAGGAAAACAGAAGATAGTCTAACTTTCTTACTCTAGCTCTCCATTTAACAAGTAGGTGGGTGTTGATGGTGGTAGTGGCAACTTTCTTTCACCAGAGACATTTTTGGTTATCACAGCTGGGGAGATACACACAACATAAAGGCTAAACATCCTGTAATGCACAGGACAGAGGCCCACTATGAATTATCCTCCCAAAATATGTCAACGGTGCAAGATTGAAAAACTTGGATTTAGGGGCTTGCCATTGCATAGTGGTTACAAATTGGGCTGCGAACAGCAAGGTCAGCAGTTCAAAACTACCAGCTGTTCCGTGGGAGAAAGATGAGGCTTTCTTTTCTGCTCCGGTAAAGATTTACAGACTCGGAAACCCTATACAGGGTCGCTATGAGTCGAAACTGACTCCACGGCACATAACCACCAACAACCACCATTTGCCATTGTTACAATCTTTACTTTGCCCTAGACCCAGAGATAGGCAGAGAGATCAGACCTAAAGATGCATGGTTAAACAAAAGAAGAAATCTCTTTGCTTTATGGGCTTTTGAATGAGGCTTCAGATCAAAGGTTTTTTGTTTAGTTTTCTTTTTTTGTTTTTGAGGCTGTGAAAATGACTTTTTTTCTCCCACCCACTCATCCTTAAGCGCTGTTGGTTCTGATTCAGTGACCCTATACAGGATTTCCTAGGAGAGACTTGTAGATCTGAGCCGTTGACCTTGTGATTAGCAGTCTAATGTTTATCCTATGGTGCGCCACATCAGGACTCACTCTTGGTGGTGGCAATGTGCCATGGAGTTGGTTCTGACTCATAGCAACCCTGAATAGGATTTCTGGAGATGTAAATCTTTATGGGAGCAGAAAACCTCATCTTTCTCCTGGCGGAACCCTTGGTAATTTCAAACTGGCTGACCTTGAGGTTAGCAGCCCGACTCCTAACCACTAAGCTACCAGAGCTCCTTGGACTCACTCTTGGGAGGCATGAGGAGCTTAAAAGCAGTAATTAACAGAGTATTTGTTGCTGTTTTCCCATTAAGTCAGTTCCAACTCATAGTAACCATGACTCAATGGCACTTAACAACGATATACCTGTTGTAAGGAGCTCTGGTAGTGTAGTGCTTAAACCTCAAAGCCAGTAGTTTGAAACTACCAGTTCACAGGAGAAAGATGAGGCTTTCTACTCCCGTTAAGATTTACAGCCTCGGAAACCCTATAGGGTTTCTGAGGAGCAGCTGGTGAGTTTGAATCACGGACCTTAAGGTTCAAATTGATTTTGCAGTCCACAGCATTAATCCACAGTACCATATAGGGAAGCCAAAAGGCTCAACTTGGATGAGAAAAGAAGCTGTTTTTAAATTGTTTTCCTCTTTCTTTGCAAGGGGGCTCCCTGATCTGTTTCTCTGGGCAGATATTAAGATATTACCATTCTCAGCACCTCAGCTCCAGGGTGCCCACCACCAGCAACCAAAGAATGGGGAAATTTTCTCTCTCTCTCCACTTTGGGAATACTTTCCATAAATACACAAACAAAAACTCTTCCAGCATTGTCTTCTACATTAAATTCCCAGAGATATTCAAACTTCTCAACTGCAGGGACTAGTCTAGCATACTAAGTTGAGGTGTAAAGCATGCATTAATAAAGGCACAGGTACCAGTTAAGGCTCAAGGGATTTCCACCAGCTGCTGTCCTTTTTGATTGAAGGGTTAGGAGACAAGTTCTTGATTTTTTTTTTTTTTTAATCCCTGCTCTGCTACCTACTGGATCAATTACTCAACAACCTTTTCCAAAGACGAAAGCAGATCCCTGCATATTCCAGGAGTCTAAAGTCCAGAGTCCTGGTGTGGCGCTGTGGGTTAATGCACTGGACTGTAAAGTAATTTGAACTGTAAGGTCGGTGGTTTAAGCTCACCACTTACTCCTTGGAGACCCTATACGGGGTCACTATGGCTCAGAACTGACTCGATGGCACTTAACAACAACAAAGTCCAGAGTATCTCCCTGATAACCCACTTGAAACAGCATTGAGTGGACTCAACTCCATAACCTGAAAGCTGTGACCCCCTTCCCTGGGTAATGCCATCTAATAGTTTCCAGATGCATTTGAACCTAAAGTTGTCAGTTTAGGCAGAAAGCTCAAACTTCCTTGGGATTTGAATATCACTACTGAACCCCTGGTAGTGTAGTGGTTGCGAATCAGGCTGCAAACTGCAAGGTCTGCAGTTCGAAACTACCAGCTGTTCTGTGGGAAAAAGATGAGGCATTCTGCTCCCATAAAGATTTACAGCCTTGGAAACCCTGTACAGGGTCACTATGAGTCGGATTCGACTCCATGGCACATAACTACCACCACCACCACTGAACCCCAGAAGATGAGAGGATACATTGTCCTCAGCACCTCCCAAAATAGCCTTTGGAGGGGCAACAAGAAAATATTGGTTCTGACTTTTACTGCAACCTCACAAAATTGGGGAAACTGTCCAATCCATCTCCAGACCAGGAGAGATTTTAATCTCTTTGTGATCAGATAAAGGGGAGAGTGGAGGAGGCTTGCCACCCTGCTGTGGAGGGCCATTCAAGGCTGGTTCCTGTAATAAAGTGATTTAATAGATCTAAAGAGGCCAATTCCCTTCTTTCTCCCACAATTACTTCCTGTGGGTTATCATTCACATATGTAAATGAGCCAGGAGAGGGACAAATCCACCAGCTTGAAAATAGTTTTGCCTGATGGGGTGGGGGAGACAAAGCATCTTACAGCAGGCCTTCAAACAGATATTCAAATACCCCAATGATTCCAGGTTCCAACTTTATTCCGCAAGTTCCCATCGCCCTGGATCCCACTCTTCATCTCAACCTCAACCTCCTTGGGCAAAGCTCTGCTTGAAGATTTCCCCTTGGGTCTCCAACCAGTCCACCCAACATCTCCCTTCCCCGCCCCTCCCCCTACAGAATACCATCCCTCAGGCTTCAGCCCTTAATCCCTACATCCTCCTTTCCCCTCCCCCACAGCTCCTAGGGCCAACCTCCCTGCAGTAACCCCTCCCTGCCCGGCCTGGGTGTCAACCTTCAGAGTCAGAATTAGGCTAAATTTCCTGCTCCTCAGGTCCAACCCCCAAACCTCCTAAAGGTGGAAGGGACCTAGGCAGCAGGCTTCCTATACGTGGTTGTGATGGATGGCTGATATCCCAGAACCACTGAAATGTCTCCCAGAGTAGTCAAGAATGAGTGAGAGGAAGAGGAGGTCAGGGAGGAGGGGGACCTGAAACCAGGAATGTTAGGACAACAATCAATGGCTGTCTGGGGCCATAAATGCCTGGCCGAGGAGAATGGATCCAGAAGCCAGCCTCCCTCCACCCCCTGCCCTGCGACACTGAATTTCACCCCCACTGCGCTGCCCAGCTTTAACTGAGAACTTGGGGTTGCGAAATCCCAGCCTAGCCCAGGAATCTAAGGCCTAGGTCTACTTAGGTTTTTCTTCCTGATTTTAACCGCACAGCAAAGGCCCCAGTCCCTTAACTGTGCGCCTGAAATTGTTCCTGTTCAGCAGCGTTCAAGCTCCCTAAACGGATCCTTCAAGGATCGGCCACCAAATCCACTCGGACCCTCGCTCCCGCCCTCCCAGCTCTTTTCAGAGGTTAGTGAAAGGCACCCGGCGTTTGGTGGCGGCCTGGCCCCGGCATGTGCTTCCCTGGACCACCACTCGCCCTCCCCCACCGGCAAGCACAATACAACCTTAGTTTCTTCCACATGGGGTCACCTCCCCTATTCTCTGTGCCATTCCCAGGGGAAAGAGGTAACAGACACGTGGTGAGCCGGAAGGGTTCCCGGAAGGGGTTCCGGGAAGGAGGTGGGGAGGTGTCGATAATCTGCGCTGCCTGCTCCCCACTCAAGTCCTATTGAAGTTAACAAGGACTCAGAATCGGGGTGCCATGGTCAAGATGGGTACGCACAATGAGGGGCCCCGATCAATCCAACAGTTTAGTTCTTCCGCCCACCCAGGAATACACGGGCGCCAACATCCCCTCCCGGCAAAGTTACAGAATGAGTCTCACCTGGTGCACAAAGACGTCCACCGGGGGGTCGAGTGCGACCCCAGCGCGGGCGGTCATGGACAGGAAGCCGAACCCCATACGCACGTTGAACCACTTACAGATGCCGGCACCATACAGCAGCTGTGGTTCCTCCACCGCACGGGCCGCGTCCTCCGGAGCCTCCTCCGCCGCCTTGGTGCAGCCACCTGGAGATGGGAAGAGAATCGAACACTCAGTTGGGGGCCAAGCAATCGGAGGGCCCTAGCAGAGACGGGACAGGGACACCCAAGCATCTCGCGGGTGGACACCAGGAACCTGCACCCACAAGCAGTTTGCCAGAAGAGACCAGTTCCGGCTGCTTCTCGCGCTCTGTATGCCTACATAGAGACCAGTGGTGCCCCAAAAGTTTTGCTCCTCTTTCCACTACAGACAGTCTGACGGACAGACCCCTCCTCTTCTTTCCCTCGTTCCCAGGTAGTCTTGGTACACACACCACTGGGACACCAGGTTTCCTTGTTTCAGAAAAGTCCCCTGTAAAAGCAGGAGACCGCACCGACTTGGGGTCCTCTGGGTAGCCCAGGAGGACACTTCCCCATTTCCCTTCTATGTGGCTCCTGGGGCCCCCTGCAACCTAAGGTGGCCTCTCTAAGTTCGAGCTCGAACCTGCAAACTGCTGGTTGGACACGGAGCCCATGTTCGTCAGCTTGAGCCCGCAGGCCGGGCCCTTGGTTGGGCGGCTGCTGGCCCCAGAGAAGTCCGGAGGCAAAGGGGTGGCTCGGAGAAGAGCCTGCTACATCTTCCCAGGCACAATAGCGGTGGGAGGGCCCACGGCTTTTCAAAGGCTCCCAAATTCTAAAAGACAATGACCCAACCCCCCGCGGGCAGCCCCCTCCCCTCCCCTCTCTCTCCTTTCCCCTCCCTTTCCCTCAGCTCCAGATCTGGCCCTCCCCCCACAGCTCTGGTCTCTGACACCTCTGGGGTGTCCCTTCTCAGAACCTTTAGGTTTGACACCCCTCCCCACATACTCATCTGGAAATGGGGAACATCTGCCCTAGAAGTCTTGGGTACCTCAGAATAATTTGGAATCCTGCACATTAAGGACACAGTAGGGTTCCCCAAAAGCAGCATACAGGTGGGGGGCCTTGGGGGAGTTTTAAAACCATGTGACTGCTCCCACACATGCTCACACACCACCCCCACCCCCCGCGCAGATAATTATACATTCCAGAGAGTTGGGGGAGGGAGGTGTGAGCCTGGCGGTGCTGGCCAATCAGAGACACAAACCACCTGTCAAGGGAGAAATGGATGTGCCCTCCCCCTCCCCCAGTCCCTGTGCGCTCCTCCCCCTCCCTTCCCCCTCAGGCCTTTGAGCTGACCCGGCTGCTTGGCGCTGACCTGCTTTCACTCAGCCCCCCCCAGCTCCGGTGGGCTTAGATAGACCGGGAGTTCGGGACCTTAGGAATCCTGGGGAGCGGAGCCCGGATAGGCTAGAGATTGGGTAGAACTGATCTCCAGTCCTGACTGTGGCGCTACCTTTCAAAGTCTGTCTACAGACTCTAATTGAGTGTCTGCTTTTCTGAGTTTCCGACTTTATTTTTTTTCTCGGTCTCTATCGGTTAGAAGAAAGTGTTCCTAAGTGAATCTATATGTAAAGAATCCTGTATTCCAAATCTGTCTAAAGTTGGTTCCAGGTAGAGCTTCTGGAACAGTAGAAGGATCTCAGAGAGGCTAAAAATGTGTTCCCTTCACCTCCATCTGCCTTCTCATTCGGCCTCCACCCACACCCCACTCATTGCTGAAAGAAGGACTGGGTAGAGAGGTGGGTGGAGACGCTTCCTCCTGTACTCGGACCCTCTTAGGTTCCCAGACGCTCCAGTTTCTGAGTAGCCACCTTAAAGTGCTCCCAAACGGGAGCTGGAGGGGCAACTGGAATAGGGGCCTCAAAATTTCAAGGGGCAGCCTGCCCTTCTAGAAAATAAAGAGGGTCAGCCATGGGGGTGGTTACTGCCCTGGTCAGAGATGGACAATGGCCCAGGGCTCAGTGCACGGCCCTGGCCCTGCCCCTTCACTTCCGGTGCTCAGTTCAAACTGGACAATGCCAGCTCCGGCCAGTTCCCCTCCCCCACTGCTACAACCAATTTAAAGGGACAGAGCCTGCTTTTGAGGCATCCGCTTGCTCTGAATTCTACCTTCCACACCAAGTGTGGGGAACCTCTAACGCTTCTCACCCTGAGACCATGGGTTTATATGTGTCTGTGTATGCACGCATACATGTATGAGAAAGAGAATGAACAGAAGTAAGAGGAAAATGGGGAAGAGAGAAAGCGAGTGTAGAGAAATTATTTCCCTCTCTTTCCTACATGGAGTGCTCTCCAAAAGACTAAACTTTGAATGTAAGGGATGAAACTCCGGGGAATTAAAATAAGATTGCAGCCCTTTGCTATTCTACCTTTAAAAATGCATGTAATAGCAATTAATATCAATGCCCCACTTTCAACTAAGGACCCTAATTTAGAACTATCAAGGGTTTTCTCGGAATGTATCAATTGAAGTTGTTTTTATTTACATACTCCTCCCACCTAAGAATCTTCTTTCCCGCGTTAGTAGCGCCATTAAATATATTCATTCCCTGTACCTCTTCATAAAACTCCTGAGCAGGTGACAGATCTAGCTGAAGTAAAGAGAAAAAAAAAGGGAGTTCACTCTGGCTTCACTTGATTGATTCTCAAGGGATGTAGGATTCCCTCCACAGCTGCCCTCAGCTTCTCTGTCCAAGGTGCTGAGGACACGGGGAGCTCTGTCTATGGTGCTGAATTGCATTCCAGACTTGAGGTTCCTAGCAGCTAGCCTTGAAACTGCCTTTTAAGTTTCCACCTCCAAGCCCTTCCCAGAAAACCTGACTTTCTCAACTCCTACAGTAACAGTGACACACTTGAAATGAAGAGACATTTTTCAGTGCTACAGAGGTTTCCAGTAATACATAATTTTGTGAGAGCCATTCGGGTATCTTAAGCTACCCTTTTGTAAAATGGGTAAAATGACTCATGTGGCCATAGAGAGAGTAAGGAAAGAGAAACTATTTTATGAATCAGAGAAGACCAGAGTGAAAGAAAGTTTAATATATTTTTTAATTATTTCCTTAATTATTAGCACAAGTGTGACTGTCAGATTGCCCATGTTTGAATATCAGTTCCATAACTTACAGTTTAAGGAAACCTGGTGGCACTGTGGTTGAAACATTTGGTTGCTAACGGAAAGGTAATAGGTTCGAACTCATCAGCTCTGCAAGAGAAAGATGTGGTAGTCTATTTCCAAAAATAATTATAATCTTGGAAACTCGATGGGGCAGTTATACTCTTTCCTCATAGGGTGACTATGAGTTGGAATCCACTTGAAGGCAATGGGTTATAAGTAACCTGGGGCAAAAGAATCCTTGTGGCTTAATGGTTAAACATTTGGTTGCTAGCCATTTGAACCCACTGGAGGCTCTATGGGAGAAAAAGATCTGGTCTCTTAAAGATAACCCCTAAGAAACCCTATGTGGCAGTTCTATTCTAAATCAGAATCAACTCAATTCAACAACCAGCAGTGAGTTCTTCAATCCCTATGTGCCTCAGTTTCCTACTGTATCCATTGGATATAATGAAAATACCCAGCTCTCATATTATGAAGATAAAGTTAGATCATATATATAAAGATTTTAGAATAGTTTCTCAATCATGTAGATTTTTACTATTATTTTAGCCATTCTATCATGCGCTTGCTTATCTCTGTGCTTTAGCACCCACTGTACAACATGCTCCCTGAGGACTGAATCATGAGTTACCCACTTTTGTATCTTCCCCACATCATTTTAATACCCAGCAGTGTCTGACCTACAGAAGAAACCCAAGAAGTTTCCTGAGTTGGCTTTAATTGAAGTAATGAAAGTTATTTGTTTTTGTTAGCTGCCATTGAATTGGTCCTGACTCATGGCAACCCCATGCACAGCAAAATAAAAGACTGCCCAGCTCTACACCATCACCATGATTTATTGTGGATCAGACCTCTGTGACTATTAGGGGTTTCACTGGCTGATTTTCTGAAATAGTTCTCCAGGACTTTCTTCCTCATCTCTGAGTTTGGAAGCTCTGCTGGAACCTACTTAGCATCATAACAATACAGAAGCCTCCATTGATAGATGGGTGATGTCTGCACATGAGATACATTGATTGGCTGGTCTACCACTGACCCACCACTACTCCTACATGAAAGTCATCACAATAGTCATATACTTACTCTCCTAGGCCATCTCTCCCGAATCAATTCCCACAACTCAGGAGTGGTTCAGGGCCTCATAAAAGTTGTACAAGTAAAGGCAGAGGATGACTTACGTAGAGACTTATGGCAAACAATGTAATTGAAGTCTCACCCTCAATGTGTTGTTTCCATGAGGGAAGTAAGGATTCCTGATCAAACTTTCCCTTATCGGTTTCTATTCTCAGTGAAAGCTTATTAGGTGGCTATACAATACAGGTAGCCTTAGCATGGCACTGTAGGATCAGCACTGCACTGCTAACCACAAGGTCAGCAATTCAAACCCACCAGTCACTCTCAGAAACCCTATGCAAGGTCATTATGAGTCGGAACTGACCAGACAGCACACAATAACAACATACGATCCAGGAGTAGGGTGTAGCACTGTGGGATAAGCACTGGACTGCTAACCACAGATCAGTGGATCAAACCCAGCAACTGCTCCTTGGAAACCTTATACAGGATCCCTCTGAGTCAGAACTGACTTGTACTTGTACTTAATAACATATGATCTAGGCATTGTGCTAGGCCCTAGGGAAACTTCACTAAACAAGATACTACTTTCCCTCCAAGTTTGGCAAAAGAGTCAGATAAACAGCACCCCAATGCTTAATGCAATGACATAGTGAGTTAAGCACTGGGTTGCTAACCTCAAGGTTAGCAGTTCAAATCCATCTCTCACTTGTCTGTAGAGGGATGAGGCTGTCTATTTCCATAAAAATTTACTGTTGGAAACACTGTGGAGAAATTCTGTTTTGTCCTAAAGGTTGTGATGAGTCAGAATCAACTTGATGGCAATGGACTTAATAAGTATATGATGTTGTTATTGTTAAGTGCCATCGAGTCGGATCCGACCCATAGCGACCCTGTACAGGGTTTCCGAGGCTGTAAATCTTTACGGGAGCAGAACGCCTCATCTTTCTCCCGCGGAGCGGCTGGTAGTTTCGAACTGCTGGCCTTAAGGTTCATAGCCCAATTTGTAACCACTACGCTACCAGAGCTCCTTAAGTATATGATAGTGCATGAAAAAGTTAAAAAATATTCTCTACCATCCAAGAAGTTACATCTAATTAGGAAAAAAAGACCTAATATAGATATTGTAGGACCAAGAATCAAGTTTGGCTTTTTGCATCTAACCTAAGCAAATGAGGTAGTTTTGTCTTTTTTTGAACAGTCAGGCCACACTTAGACATATGCAAAAGAATTGAGAATGCACAATTCATCACCTTAGCAACAAGTCTCAGGAAGGGAGGGGACATGATGAGGTCTCCCCACACACACTTTCTGAGGCCTAATGCTTGTCTATGTTGCCTGCTTTTATGGGATATGAAGTATGACCAGTTGAGGAACCTTGTGCTCTCCTCAGCTGTGGTACTATGGAAACAAGCATGTTGTTGC